TATGGCAACTCCCTGTGAGAGAGCTAACATGTAAACCTGAATATTTTGAGTGAATTTGTTTAGCTGCCACAGATGGGAAAGACAAAGAAAATCCAGCCTTCGAAGACCCCAGAAACTTATTTTTCTAATAATAATAATAATAATAATATCATCCTCTAAAATCCTCAGCTTTTCCCTATCTTTTCCTTCCTGGTTGGAATACCTTTTAATGGAGAAAGATAAAGTAAATATAGAAATGAAGCTATGTTTGTTATGGGATTGTGGATTAAGCCAGTTATTTAACAACAAAAAAAAAAATCCGCCAGGTAACTGCTCATTTACTTTACATCAAGTTGAGAGCCTGATATATACATCTCAACTTTATAATTCAAGATTGCAGTTAAATATGTAATTCATTTGAATTACCATGGTAATAAGACAATTAGAAACCTTATATATTTTCAAAAAGGACATGCTTAACATTTTCTGACAAGACTTGTAAACGCAGATGAAGTCAAATATCCTCTCAAAATGAATGTTCTGCTCTAAAAGTTAAGTGGTTTAGAGTTGGTAGCAAAAACTATCATGGTTTAACTTTTCCATCATGGGATACATACAAAGGTAACTGCTGTTTAAACATCTAATCAGTAAGAAGTTAACATGAACCAGTTAACTGAAATTCAAAGGTAAAACTGCCATTCTATTTTGAATATCTTCAGTATTCAAGTTTCATACTTTTGAAAAGGACAAGAATGTAGTTTTGATATGCCCAGATTGTTTTATGTTAAAAACACATGGTCACTCACATTATTCAGATACTTGAGAAAATAATTCATGATTGGATAAACTTGGTTAATTTAACTTGCAAAATATCAGTGGAAGTATAGGAATTACATAAATGGAATCAAACACGACAAATGTTACGGGAAGAGCTTAGGTGAGTAGATCTAAGAAGCAGTTTGCAGTGTACATGAAGAAAGAACAGCCTCTTGATTTGTCCTCATTAGTATTGTACTCAAGATGACGGAAGTCCCTTTTCACTGCTTATGAGACTAACTTTAATATATAGTGCTGCACAGGCACTTTAGTGACAATATAAAAATTATAGTGGTTCTAAAAAGTGGGAAATGACCAGCTATAATTTAAAAAAAAAAAATAACAAATTTCTGTATTATTGGCCACATTACCAGAGAGGGCATGTCTATTTGTGAAAATAAACAAAAAAACCCTGCTAGTTGCTTCATTTCCGAAACAATAATAATATGAAGCATCATCAGTTACTAGATTGAGAGATGTCTGCTGACCTATCCAACAGTTATTTATATACAGCAAAATTATGTTACCTGGTAGTTTACCAGCTGGAACTTTTGAACACCCAATGCAATCTTGACTCCACAAGACCACTACACCAAATGACCTAATCATACAACTGGATACTGGACCACAATGCGATTAACAGTATGTTTCAGGGCGGAGAGATCGAAGGGAAATCAGAAGAGGGAACTTCCTGGGTCAATAGGAATTAACTTTAATTAACAGAGCAATTTTAACTAATTCCCATTCTCCTACCATGCTGGATAAAAAAGCTCTCACTCTACTATTACACTATAGGAGGAATGCAAAGCAAGTAACTTGGTGTAATAGGTTACCTTGCATAGTACCTCTTGGTACCTAAGGGAATGTGTGACTATCATTCCCTCAGTAAAGCACCTCAAGAGAGGACCGAGAAACGTGATACATGGAGTTCTGTTTGTGCTAATGTCATCAACTATAAAAAGTTAAAAACACTCTTCTTCCTTCACTTCATACATAAAATAGCAAAATCAGTTTCTCTTAGAACAATTTTATACATATAAATAAAAACAGAACAAAAGATCCAAAGTGTCTTTGCTAATGCAAATTATGGGGGAAATTTGGATCAACTCATCGCAAAGAACTGATTACATCATCAATTTAAAATACACTGGCATCTCCCACAAATCACTTTTCCCTATAAATGCACCTTCCAAGAAAAGCTTGTCTGAGCTGGAACAATCTCACAGAATCATTTAGACAACATATAAGAGTAACTGGTTCCCTATTACAAATAATTTACCAAGGTTTCTTCAAGCCCCATACTTTCAATTTAAACTAACTAATGGTTTGAAAAGAAATAAATTACAGAAAAATGTAAAGAACTTTTCACTGTTCTACATACTAATTTAGAGGTCATGAGGATTAAAATTTTTTTTAATGATACAAGGCACTTTTCCTTTTTTTTTTTTTTTTGGGCTTCATTTAGAAAAAATAATGCTACATTGGTTTATTCTCCTTAAGACCATTTTGGACAAAGAAAAAAAGGGATAGGCAACTCTGAAAGGAACAAATACAACAATTGGCTTTTACAAAAAAAAAAAGGGGGGCGGGGACCTAACACTATCCTTGTTTTTTGAGTATCAGATACTATAAAGCATAACATCTTCCTTTCATCATTTTTTTTCTATAGGAGAAACAAATCAGGAAGGTAACAGGAAAGGAAGCACTCATTAACTGGATTATGTTAAAGTAACAATAGTTAGCTAATGTCATGATTTAAAGATTGTTAATAAGGGACAAGAAGTTTACAAAGAAGCAAATGGCAGAATCTTGCATTTTGTTAATGTTTCTGTAAGAAGCTCCACCCTACAACTGAACTGTAAAAGTTATCTTAAAAATGTAATATATAGAACACAAAATGAATTTTTAGCAAACTTTTAGGAAATTCTCTTTATAAATTACCCAGATTTTATAAACAAATCCCCCCTAACTTGCATTTTGTTTAAAGTAATAACTATATCATACAAACAAATTTCAAGTATGAAAGTGCATTATTGCAATAATACCTCTTTGCAAGTCCAAAATTCTTGGTTTATAATAAAACTGTAAAGTTTTTTTCTTTTTTTTTAAGGAGTAAAACCATCAGTGCCATCTACAGCAGAAGTCCCACATCTTCACACGCTGCTCACAGACTGCAGAGAACCATGTCTGGAAGCAACATATAACCAAAAAAATCTACTTGTGTTTTTACCAGTTTATGTTATTATTATCTCTATTTTCTTCTTTCTAAACAGAAATTCACACTCTACAGTGTTCCTCTTGCTTCAACCATTCTGTGCAGTTGCCACTTGCATGTTTCCAAAGTCATCATCTTCTTCATGTGTTCTCTTCAAACTGCCTAAAAGTTATTGCATGAACACAACAAAGGGAACTTAAATTCATATTACAGTGTTACAGCCAGTAAAAATATGTTCTTCATGATGTGATACCAAGTACAGACTATGAAGATTCCATGACTGAATTTATAGCAAATTTTAATAACATTTGACTTAAAACATAACTTTCTTCTGTGGGAATAGAACCAACAAAGGCCTTGGTACAAGAAAAATACCACTATTAGAAATCCTTTTATGAGCTGGCGCCACAGCTCAATAGGCTAATCCTCCGCCTTGCGGCGCCGGCACACCGGATTCTAGTCCCAGTCGGGGTGCCGGATTCTGTCCCGGTTGCCCCTCTTCCAGGCCAGCTCTCTGCTGTGGCCTGGGAGTGCAGTGGAGGATGGCCCAAGTCCTTGGGCCCTGCACCCACATGGGAGACCAGGAGAAGCACCTGGCTCCTGGCTTTGGATCAGCGCAGTGCGCTGGCCGCAGCGCGCCGGCCACGGCAGCCATTGGAGGATGAACCCATGGCAAAAAAAATGAAGACTTTTCTCTCTGTCTCTCTCACTGTCCACTCTGCCTGTCAAAAAAAAAAAAAAAAAAAAAAAAAAAAAAAAAAATCCTTTTATGAAGCTAAGTCCGGCCACAATGTATAGAACATTCCAAATACCAAGAGTCTGGATAGGAGGCAATATGGATCTTAACTAGATTGGAGTTAAGCGCATCATTAAAAAAGGGGGAAGGGATTTTGAAGATACTGTGGAAACAGACTCCACAGGAATGCAAAGTGATTAGAGGTGGCAAAGGAAAGACAAGACACAATGATCACTAGAAGTTGAACTCAGGAATGGATACATATATAGCTTTATCAGTCCGTGTACTTTTGCTGCAGTACAGTGCAGACTTCTGGACCTGTGGATCAATCACCTATGTTCAATTTCGAGGTGAATACTAATCAAGTATATAACCTGTTCTTCCTACTATAAGGCCAGTTTTGGTTCTAATCCTAATGAACTCTAAACATGCTTTCATGTGTTCACCACCCTTTATTTTGAATAAGATCACACAAATGTGTTTAGGGCCCCTTCTCCAGGCTGACTCCTCTTATTAATTATTTTATTATTTTATTCATTTATTTTAATCATTTCAATCCAATTAATTGGAAGTTAACTTAAAACAGGTAGATATCTTCCCCCCAGCATATTCTGGTTGACTAGGCACAGTGGCATAAATAAGTGTAAGCTCAAAGTTTTCTAAACAATTTAAATTATTCAATGTAAGATGTAGGGAACTGGAGCTGGCACTGTGGCATAGTGGGTCAAGCTGCCACCTGCAACACCAGCATCCCATATGGGCATCCATTCCAATCCAGGTCTCTGCTGAGGTGCCTGGGAAAGCTGCAGAAAGTGGCCAAAGCACTTAGGCACCTAACACCCATGTGGGAGACCCAAAGGAATACCCAGACCCTTGGCTTCAGCCTGGCCTAGCCCTGACCATTACAGCCATTTGGGGGAGTAAACCTGTAGACAGAAGAGTTTCTTTTTTTTCCTGTCTCTCATCAGCAGAAGATAGCCCAAGTGGTTGGGCCCCAGCACCCATATAGGAGACCAGAATGAAGCTCCTGACTCCTGGCTCTGGTCTGGCCCAGGCCTGGCTGTCGCAGCTATTTGGAGTTTACAACTTTGTAAACCAGTGGATGAAGATGTCTCTGCATCTGCCTCTCTGTAACTTTTTCAAATAAATAAATAAGTCTTAAAAAATAAATAAATAAATAAAAAAACCAGTGAACAATGTATGCGTTTTTCTCATCTTTCTCCTCAAATTTCTCCCAAAGGAATTAATCCTTACCTGTAGTTCCAGAATGAACAGATAATGATCTTTCTATCTGAAGTGGTGACATCATCTGTATTGTTAATTTTGCTAGATAGATGGCTTCATATTCCTGAAAGGTATTTTAATTAACATGAATATGCATCTTGGCTACCCAAAACATGATTAATGTAGACATTATTGATATTCTTAGTTTACACTGAAAAATCAGATATCATCTTGTTGTAAGAGAAACAGAGGTTTAGAATTCCTGTCTCATAATTTCACAACTACTGGTAACTATAAATCAATTCACACAAATAGCCTGCACTAAGCTATTGCATACTACAATACCAGTCTATGTGTCTTCTGCCAGCAGCCTCTAGCTACAATTACTTGATTTCATCTGTTTAACACCATAAACCTATACCAGCAATTTCATAAAATGATTGAGAGATTAAAATGAAATGAAACTCGGTAGGGGTAGGCATTGGGTATGGCGGTACAGCCACCACTTGCAATGCTGGGATCTCATATCCAAGCGCTAGTTAAGAGTCCCGGTTACTCTGCTTCCAATCAGGCTCCCTTGTAATGTGCCTGGGAAAGCAGCAGATAATGACCCAATTACTTGGGCTCTTGCTGACCATATAACAGACCAGAATGGAGTCCCTGGCTCTTGGCTTAGAACTAGCCCAGACCTGGATGTTGTAAGCATTTGGGGGGTGAACCAGCAGATCAAAGACCTCTCCCAGTTTCTCCCTCTCTCTGTTGCTCTCCCTTTTTTTAAAAAAAGATTGATTTACTTATTTGAAAAATAGAGTGGGAGAGATATTAATCTTCGATCTGGTTCACTCCTCAAGTGGCTGCAACAGCCAGAGCAGGGCCAGTCTGAAGCCAGGAGCTTCTTCTGGGTTTCCTTCATGGGTGCAGGGGCCCAAGGACTTGGGCCATCTTTTGCTGGTTTCCCAGCTGCATTAGCAGGGAGCTAGATGGGAAGTGGAGCAGCTGGGTCTTGAACTGGTACCCATATGAGATGCCAGTGGCGGGAGTTTTACCCATGCCACAGCACTGGCCCCTGTTCTGCCTTTCAAACAAAATAAATATTAAAAGAATAAAATTCAGTAAAAATAAAATACTTGTTGTAAAACACTCAAATTAGCATCACATTCTAGTATATATTTAAAGTTTGTTGAGTGGCGGCGGCAATGGCAATAAAAGTGGCTACAGCGAGGACACGAGCAGGGTAGTGACCATGAGGGAGGTGATTTCGTTCTTAGTGAAACTGTTGGGGCCCATCACTGCACTGAAGTTGGTTCTGTACCTGCTCTGAGTGTGCTTAGTGATGGCCTGGAAATCCAGTGGTGCCAGCCACTTGTAGCTAGTCCACATCTCCACAAAAATGGTATCATAAAGACAGATAAAGTGTTTGAAGTTATGCTGGCTACAAATCGCTCCCACTAGGCAAAATGTAACCCTTATATGAATTCTCCACAACCCACAGGTTTCCAAGCAACAATCATTGCTCCATAAACATATGTATATGCAATAGAACTTCTATTTGATCTATTACATGAAGGAGCTAAAGCTCTTGATGTAAGATTGGAAGTGGAACCCTTACTACATGTTTTGCACGTATCGTGGGATGTAGTGGAAAAGTCATAGGAATAGGAATTGATCACATTAAAGAGCTAACAGATGACTCAATAAACAGTGTCAGAAAGGATGATGCAACACTTTTGTCTTCAGGGAGAGTGCAACTGGTTGTGGGGGATGGGCAAATGGGCCATGCTGAAGAAGCCCGGGATAATGCTGTTCATGTAGGAGCTGCAGCCCTTGGTACTAACAGACCAGTTAAAGCCTGGTAGAAGACTGATACTGCCAGTTGGTTCTGCTGGTGGAAACCAAATGTTGAAGCAGTATAAGCTACAAGATGGCAGTGTCAGACCTTTCATGGGGTCACCTGTGCCTTTCACAGATAAAGAAAAGCAGTGGTCTAGGTGGAAGTGATTTTTACCTTCTTCCCCACATGTGACAGACGAACTCTGGGAGCGTCAGCTTGACCAGCCTATGGTATTTCAGTGGACTGCTCATCTCAGTGCTCGAAGCTTTTTGTAAACAGCATCACAGTTTTGGACTTTGTCACACTATTATTTTCAGCATGAAAATGTGTGGTTTGTAGGGTTTTCTAATTCTTCGGAGGCACAGAGCCCAGCTGGCAGAAGGCTGCAGAACAGGACTGCCTGTGTTACTGCTTTCACATGCCCACAGTACACTTTAAATAGGAAAAGAAGGGGGTCTGCAAAAAGGAAAATCTTAGCTTATGACTGATTGAGGAGTTGTTTTCCTTTTCTTAGACACTTAATTTTGTTCTGATGTTAATTTATCAGATTTCTTCTGTGTTATAACACCACCATTCACAAGTTAAGATTCTCGGTATTTGGCTGTCCTTTAGATACTACTAAGAAAATAGAGATGAGCTTTCTTTTTAAAGCTTTTGATGTGGTGTCATAGAATAGCATGTTGTAGATACATTCAGCTGCTTTGTTATCTAGGCATCTGTAAACACTGAAGCTTAAGACGGCAGGTAAGCACTCTGCTGTACACATTGGACATAACTGTCATAGTTCGTTCTTTCTCTCTAAAAGTGATAGGAGACTTGTAGCTTAGTGTTTTTTTGTGTGTTTCTAATTTGCTACTGATAATGTATATAATCTAACATGCTGTGTAAACTGTGTTCTTATTGTAGTTTATGCAGTGCTGCTTTGCCAAAGTTCAAAGCAAAAAAAAAAAGTTTGTTTTTTATTTACTTGAAAAGAAGAGCAACACAGAATGAGAGAGAAAGCTAGAGATCTTCCATTTTCTGATTCACTCCTAAAAGGCCTGCAACAGCTAGGGCTGGGGCAGGCTGAAGCTAGGTGAACATGGAAATCTGTCCTGGCCTCCTAAGTGGGTGGCTGGAATCCAAGTACGTAAGCTATCGTTAGCTATCTCCCCTGGTGGCCTATAGTAGGAATCCGGATCAGAAGAGCAGGTTGGAGCGGCACTCCAATACAGGAGTCAGGTGTCCCAAGCAATGGCCTAAACCTACTACCCCACAATGCCCACCCCTAGTCATGTATAATAGGATTTCTAAAGCCTTAATAATTTAAGTGTTCCGCTTCAGGTAAAGATGTGGTTATAAAGGTTGTTGCTATGGTACTGAGGGTTAAGTTGCAGTGTGTGGCATTGCCATCCCATATGGGTTCCGGTTCAAGTACTGGCTGTTCCACTTCTGATCCAACGCCCTGCCTGCAAAGCAGCAGAAGATGGTCCAAGTGCTTGGGCCTCTGTACCTACATGCAGGACCCAGATGAAGCTCCTGGCTCCTAGCTTTGGCTTTATCCAGCCCTGGCTGTTGCAGCCATCTGGAGAGTTAATCAGTAGACAAAGGATATTTCTCTCTCCATTTGTCTGTCTCTCTCTCTCTCTGTTACTCTGATTTTCAAGTATGAAATAAATAAATCTTTTAAAAAAATGTGGTAATAAAGGTATTTCTGTTCTATTTTTTTTTTTTTTTTTTGACAGGCAGAGTTAGATGGTGAGAGAGAGAGACAGAGAGAAAGGTCTTCCTTCTGTTGGTTCACTCCCCAAATGGCCACCACAGCCTGCGCTGTGCCGATCCGAACCCAGGAGCCGGGTGCTTCCTCCTGGTCTCCCATGTGGGTGCAGGGCCCAAGCACTTGGGCCATCCTCCACTGCCTTCCTGGGCCCCAGCAGAGAGCTGGACTGGAAGAGGAGTAACCAGGACTAGAACCTGGTACCCATATGGATGCCAGCGCCACAGGCGGAGGATTAACCAAGTGAGCCACGGCACCGGCCCCTCTGTTCTATTCATTCAAAGAACTAGAAAAATATTTGGAGCTGGCACTGTGACACAGTGAGTTAAGCCACTGCCATCCCAGTTCCAGTTCTGGCTACTTAGTTTGTGATCCAGCTTCCTGGGAAAGCAGATGATGGTCCAAGTGCTTGGACCCCTGCCACCCACGTGGGAGACCTGGATGAAGTTCCAAGCTCCTGGCTTTGGCCTGGCCCAGCCCCAGCCACTGCAGCCCTTTGGGGAGTAAAGAAGCAGATGTAAGACCTCTCTCTATATAACTCTGCCTAAAAAGTAAACATTTCTTTAAAAACATTAATAATTAAATCAAGGATAAGTGAAGTATCATGACTACAGTCATAACATCACTATTTTGATACAAGGAAGAATTTGATACATTCTCCAATGAAGAAGAAACTAGAACTAAAAATTTAAAATGTCAAGTCTTTCTTAACTATGCCTTCCAATACATTTCATACCAAAAATAAGAATCCCTCAGAAAAATTTAGAGAGAATATGAATGAAGGGGGGTTGGTGCTATGGCACTGTACATTAATCCTCCACCTGCAGCTCTGTATCCCATATGGGCACCGGTTCTAATCCCGGCTGCTCCTTTTCCAATTCAGCTCTCTGCTATGGCCTGGGAAAGCAGTAGAAGATGGACAGATGGACCAAGTGCTTGGGACTCTGCACTAGTGTGGGAGACCCAGAGGAAGCTCCTGGTTTCAGACTGGCACAGCTCCAGCTGTTGCGGCCATTTGTGGAGTGAACCAGTGGAGAGAAGACCTCTGTCTCCTCTCCCTCTCACTTGTCTGTAACGCTACCTACCAAATAAATAAATAAAATCTTTAAAGAAATAAAAAAGAATATGAATGAGGGGACTCTGAGAAATTTCATAAATTGTATAAAATTATAGTACTTAAATGTTCATAGATGTAGCAATAAAGAGATCAACTGAATAGAATACAAGGTCCAGAACCAGATTCAGATATAGATCAGAATTTGATATAGAATAAAAATTGTGGGGCTGGCATTGTGGTGTAGCATGTTAAGGAGTCAGCTGCAACATGGCATCCCATACGGGCACCAGTTCCAGTTCCAGCTGCTCCATTTCTGATCCAGCTCCGTGCTAATGTGCCAGGGAAAGCAGTGAAGGTTGTCCCAGCACTTGGGTCCTTGCCACCCATGGGAGACACCTGGATGAAGCTCTTGGCACCTGGCTTCGGCCTGGCCCGGCCCTAGCCATTGCAGCCGTTTGGGGAGTGAACTATGAGATGGAAGATCTCACTTTCTGTCTCTCCCTTTCTCTGTCACTCTGCCTTTCAAATAAGTAAATACATCTGCCATAATCTGCAGATTAAGCCGCCACCTGCAATGCCAGCATCCCATATGGATCCAGCTCTCTGCTAATGTGCCTGGTAAAGCAGTGGAAGATGGCCCAAGTGCTTGGGCCCCCACATCCTTGTGGGAGACCTAGATGAAGTATCCCTGGCTCCTGGCTTTAGTATGGCCCAGCCCCGGCTGTTGCAACCATTTGAGTGAACCAGCAGATGGAAGATATCTCTCTCTGTATCTCATTCTCAAATGCTGCTTTTCAAAATATATATATATATATATATATATATATATATATACACTTCCTTAACATACAAAAGTTCTTAGAAACCAATGAAAAAAAAAGCTTAATAACCTGATAGAAAAAAGGGCAAAGAATATCAATATCAGTTAACAGAAAAATAACACAAACATAGCACAAGAGGTTCAAACTCATTCAAAGGGCAGCAAATTAAAACTATAAGGAATTGATACTTTTACTACCATGATGGCAATCATCAAGATTTGCTGAATAACTGGCTACTGGAGTAACTACAGTACCAGAAAACAAGCACTCCCTGTCTTCTGATAAGTTTATATTATTCTGTCCTTTTTAGAGGCACTTAGGCAACACTTACCAAACTTCGAATGTACTAACCCACCAATTCTACTTAGATTAATTTTTTAAAAAAGCATATTCACACATGTAAACAAAGACGTACCTACCTATCAGGATGTCTTAACTGGCGTCTTAACCTTAACATCCACCCTGTACAAAATATTTTAATTGTCCTGATTTCTTACTACCTGAAAGAGGAGAAAAATTACCTGAAGTTGATGTACAAATCCAACATTAGGATTAATACAAAATCTTCTTTCTTGAACATAAGCAAATGCATCTCTGCCAATAGAAAATTAATGTGATTATTTTATGAATTAGTGAAGTTTCCCAGAATTACCTAAAACAGGAATCTTTCCTACAAATCTACCAAAGAAACAACACCCTAATCATACAGCATAACACTACAGAAGGTAGTCAGGGAAAAGTCCAGTTAGACTAAATATCACAATCCACTGTTCACTAGCTGTATCACTTGGGAGAAACTTACTCAACTTCTGTAGGGATCATCTTTCTCATGGATAGTGTAAAGTCCAGTAAGGGACATTAACTCTCTTTTCAATGAAATAAATAAAAATTTAAATTCAGGCACTACGTTAATCCTCCACTTGCAGTGCCAGTATCCTATATGGACACCAATTCTAGTCCTGGCTGCTCCTCTTCCAATCCAGCTCCCCGAAATGGCCTGGGAAAGCAGCAGAAGATGGCTCAAGTGCTTGGGCACCTGCACCCACGTGGAGACTGGGAAGAAGCTCCTGGCTCCTGGCTTCGGCTCGGCCCAGCTCCAGCCATTGCAACCATTTGGAGAATGAATCAGCGGATGGAAGACCTTTCTCTCTGTCCCTCTGTCTCTATTTCTCAAATAAATACATAAAATCTTTTTAAAAATTTTTGAATTCAAATTATATACCTTTAAGAACTTGTAGTTTAAGGAGTGTAACAGAAAGGGTTGCCAATGATTAAGATACCAAACTTGTACAGTGAAAGAAACAGAAATGTTTAACTCTACTGCCTAGGCTTCTGCTTTATTTTGGAGAAAGAAGCTCATGACCAACCCTAACCCCCTTTAAATCTGTAAACTATTCTGGGAAAAGATGAGTTTCAATAAGACTACCCTTATCTAAAGAGGCTACAAACAACTAAGTAATTTTTCACCTGTTTATAAAGGGAAACATAATTAGCCACACTCCATTTGTATCTCAGAGTTTTTAACCACAGGCTACCAATTGCCTAGAAGTAAGTAGTTTTCCATGGATTATTCCATCCATGTTACCTTGTCTTCTTAAAATACCAGTTAAGATAGCACTAGTGTCACAAAGCCATAAAAAGATTAGCTTCAGCAGGTCTATGCAAGGTAGGAAGTTAGGTTAAAAGATTAACCATGGGATAGAAGGGCATGCCGTTAAACATGAATCCACTATTTAAAAAAAAAGGAAAACATTACAGCTCTCAAACCATCTCCATTCAACTTTATTTTAATGGGAATTTAAATTGTGGCTAAGTTTTACAGTACTTTCTTACCTGTATTTCATTCCAAACGTTTCCATAAGGTATGCAATAACAAAGGCAGCACTGAAGAGAAGGGAAAAATATTATAAGAAACAGAAAAACAGAAAATACAACTCACTAATTAAAAACATTAAAGAAAGATTATCTCTAACTTCTTACCTTCTGGAGATCCCTGCATTTCCATGGACAAGAACTTTCCCTGAAAAATAGTTACTCTGATTTTTAAAAACCACTGAGTCAGAAGCAGCTGAAATGTCTTAAAGCTATGTAGCATACCATATCAAAGTAAGTATTTCATAAACATTTTAAATCACAAACATATTACCTTGGCTATTTACTTTCAGGTATTCACAATTTATTTATTTTAACTGTACAGAAAATAAAACACTTTTAGATAAATTAAATTTAAAGCTTACAGAGAATTTGAAAATAATTTTGTAAGGTTATTTTAGTCTTTGTTACTTGAGGCCAGAGAAAGAGTGAGAGACTGATTTTCCATCTGCTGGTTTACTCCTCAAGTATCTACCACAGGTGGGGTTAGACCAAGCCAAACCCAGGAGCCTGGACCTCCATCTGGGTTTCCCCTGTGGTTGGTAGGAACCCAAGTACCTGACCTATCACCAAACCGAACATTAGCAAGCAGCTGGCAACAGAAGCAGAGCTGGCATTGGAACCCAGGCATTGCAATACGAGATGCAGGTGACCCAAGTGATGTCTAAATCACTACAGTAAATGCCTGCCCTGTAGAATTATTTCAAAACAGCTATCCAAATTAAAGTACTGGGAAAATAAAACTTTAGCAGTATTCTATCACATACAGTTGCAACTTTCATAAACCACATTCAAGATAAATACCAATAAAGGTAAAAAATTAACTGTAATAAATCATCTCATAAAAGCAAGCATTAGCTAATAAGTAAAAGAAACAGTATTTACCTCCAGTTTGTAAGCTCCCATCAATAAATTCTTTAGTCTGAAGGTAAAAGTCAGTATGTTACAATAAAGCAGGTATATTAGCATAAGCATACATATAGTGAAACAGAATGAAATTTACTGAAAACAATTTTGTGCTATTTATAATTCAAGAACTTCCAAAATGCCACCAATACAGCTAGTACAAGTTAAAAAAATTAAAAAGCTAAAATTTAATTTGAATTTAACAGAGTATAAATTTCTCAGATTTCTTGAGATAATAAAAATTGTTACATAAATAATTTCTTTCAAAAGCCAGCCTCAAAATTTTGTGGTCGTAACAGGGTAAAAGTAGTAAGTTTTAGAATCACAAATAAGACAAATCATAAATCTCAAATGATAATAATGATACTTACCATAGGGAAAAAACGTATTATATTTTCAACTGGATTATCTGCAATATCCAAGACTAAATACCTAAAAATAGAATATTTTGCGATAAAGCACTTTCAGAAAAAACTCATTATATAAAAAATAACTGCATATTTCTTGATAACCATGGAAAAGAATGTAAAACACTTTTTAGAGTATCAAATTGCTAAGAATTGGGAAACAGATTTTATATTGCTTGAGGGTACAGCATTCAAAGCCTTAAATAACATGCTAACATTTCTCATATTTTAGAAAGACAAAAATTGATCTAGTTAGAAATAAGCAGGAAGAAACTTTCCTCTAAATCAGACCAGATCTTGAAAACGAAGATGAAAGTGCCTGCACCCCTGACTGTTGATTCTTCCATTCCTAATGTAAGATGATTGTTCTCGAAGTGGCCCTGTGAACTCCTTGTAATCTTACAAGAAATTTCATTTCACAGGAAGCTCAAAGTATAAAAGAGGAGCCAAAAGACATCTGATGGAACCATGAGGCAAACATTCAGTTTGAACTCATCTTCAGCAAAGCAAAAAAAAAAAAAAAAGGCAAAAAAAAAAGCTAAGATCTGTCATGAAATTTTATACTTTAAAAAAATTTTAAAATAAGCCATTAATATGCTGTTGTATTCAACTTCAACTAATTTTCATTTTTATTTGGAAGTCAGAGACAGAGATCTTCCATCTACTGATTGAATCCTCAAATGCCCACAACAGCCAGGGCTGGATCGGCACAAAGCCAGGAGACAGGAACTCCACCCAGGTTTCCCCTGTGGGTGGAAGGGAACTGTACTTGAGCAGTCATCTGATGACTCCAACGATGTGTATTAGCAGGACTGGGGAGCAGATGTGACCTGAACCAGGCACACTCACCTGCAGTGTCTGCATTCCAAGTGGCAACTTAACCACAGCACCAAATGCCCATCTCTGAAAAGCTTATTTATAACCTATCCAAATCACCTTTTTATTAATACAACATGGGTAATTAACTAAAGTATGAAGTCAGTTCCTAAAATCAATTTGCTTTAAAAATTGTAGCTTTTCAATGATCTTCAAGGTATAGCAACTTTATTAACTGCAGAGCTTAATACAGAAAAGCTAAAGCTCAGGATCTAAGGAAAATCCTACGTATAAACTACAAATATTCCAACACTTGTATCTGAAAGTGACTAGACCTCACTGTTGAACCAGGACCCAAAATACTATTACTAAAAACAAAAATTCTATGCAAGCTAGAAACATTGACATATTAAAACACAAAATTCTGATTTTCTTTAATACATATATCTACATGTGTGCATACACAGTACATCTACACAAAAAAGAAAAACTGGGGTGAGACTTGTGGAGCAGCTGGTTGAGCCCTCGCTTGGGACGCCCACATCCCATATCAGAGTGCAGGTTCAAGTACTGGCTACTTCTTTTCTGATCTAGCTGCCTAACGCTCCTGGGAAACAGAGGATGATGGTTCAAGTACTTGAATTCCTGCATCCACATGGGAGATCCTCATTCCTGGCTTCAGCCTGACACAGCCTAGTCTATACAGCCATTTAGGGTGTGACCTAGTGAGTGGGAAATGTCATTCAAATAAATAAATAAACCTTAAAAAAAAAAAAAGGATTTGAAAAAATGCAAGATTTTATAAGAATATATTTTTAAAAAATATTTGTGTATTTATTTGAAGGACAGAGCTAGAGAAAGAGAGAGATAAAGATATCTTCCATCTGCTGGTTCACCCCCAAAATGGCCACAACAGTACATGGGACAGTACAAAACCAGGAGCTTCTTCTGGGTCCACATGAGCGCAGAGGCCCAAGCACTTGGGCCACCTTCCACTGATTTCCTAGGCACATTAGCAGGGAACTGGATTGGAAGTGGAACAACCAGGAATTAAAGCATTGCCCATACTGGATGTCGGCACCACAGGTGGCAGCTTTACCTGCTGCAACACAGCACCAGCTCTCAGACACTTCTTTTTAAAAACCTTTTATTAATTAAAAACTGCACACATGGCAAAAATTTTAATATAGTATGAAAACACAGAAAATGAAAAATCCTTCTACCAATGTAGAGTCTGAACTTTCCTTCTAAAAAGGCAACTACCACCAAGCAGTTTTGGTCCAGAAATTTTCTATGCATATAAAATGTGTATTTGTGAACGCACTGGCAGTATACACATTTCTATAGTCTTCTTTTTTCACTTAATGAATCTGGGAGATTGTTCCAAACCAACACGAACAAATACATTGCTTCTTGTGGTGACATATTCTATTTTACGTTCATACAATGTATTTCAGTGTCATTTATTTATGGATATTTGTAGGCTGCTTTCAGTTTTACAAATAATTGAACATTAAAATATTGTTATCACAGATGCTTTATAAAGGTATAGAGTATCTCCAGAGAGATATTCAAGGCAGAGTTACTAGAAACTTTCAGAAGAGATGCTAGTTGGTTGGGATAAGAGAGACTGGCTTTCACTAGTTCTTTATGTACCTTTTTACCTTTGTCAACACTAAAAGCCACCAGATACTCATCCACACTTATCCCAAGACATATGAGAAAGTTGAACATTTTCACTTCAAGACTGTGAAAAACAAAAAATGTTTATAATTTTGTCCTAGAGAAGTCCCAATGAAAGAGTCACACTCATGCACTTGACCATGGGAATGTAAAGTGACACAACTAGATGACAGTCTGCAGTATCTATCAAAACCTAAGATGTTCATATTCTGAGATGCAGCAACTCTACTTCTATAAATTTATCCTACCAATATACTCACAAATGAACTACATGGTATGTCCAGACACAGTCATTATATTCTGTACCTATATTAGTAAAAGTGTTGAAACAATCTAAATGCTCAAAAATAGCAAGTTGATTGAATAAGTCTTTATAGTATATAAAATAGCTTTGCAAGTACTAATATAAAGTAATCTTCAAAAACTACAAAGTAAAAAAAGGCCAGCATACAATTCCTAAACAGGAATATGCTTACATAGTTACATGTAACTCTGGGAGGATACTCATTAGAGGAGTTAAAGGTAGACACTTCTAGGGAAGAGAGCTGAGTACGTAGGGGACAGGAACAGGAAGCCTAGTTTCTTTCGAACCTTTCAAATTCTACGTTATAAGCATAATATTTAAATTAAATTTAAATTACATACTTCATGAACCATCTTTACAAAACAGATACATACAGAAGAAAGTCTTACTGTATAAAATAAACTTAAAATAAAACCACTATTATGTCTACTATCCTTAATGATTTTCTAAATGTTAACAATAATTCTTACCTAAATAATTGTTGAAAGTTTGGTTTAATAAAGTTTGCTTCAATATTTTGTCGTATGCAAATTATATGGGTTATTCCATGTTTCTGTAGTATAGGTAGCTGTAAAAAGAGGGGATGGTCAAGGAAGAGAAATAGTTTAAAACATAAACTATCCTCTTACTGCAATACAGAAGTGCTGAGAATACACATGACCCACATCTGAGCCTTAAAGAACACAAAATTAAAGCTAATTTTACTTGGGAAATGGCTCTCTCACTATATACTGCATTTTAAAAGCATTGAGCTTGGAATCCTGACAGCCCAAGCTAGAAATCCTAGATCAGCTAACCTTATCCCTGCAGCTCCATCTCCTCATGTGACAGTGGGGAAAACATGTCTGTCTCTGAATGCTTTTGAAAAATTCTGAGATAGCATAAATATATGTATGGTGCCTGACAGAGCCTGGAACATATGGCAAATGTTTAGTAAATAGTAGCTATACACATTGACTGCAACCCTAATTCTTTACTGGGGTCTATTAAGATATAAATAGTTAAATAACAGTATTTATTTTATCAATATCACTGACCTGGTTAATGGCAATATCAGAGCCCAAATATCTAACTCCCTGTCTCACCCAGTATACCTTTTCTATCAAGTCAGAATTAATTTTATAACTCACACAATCTAATTAACATTTTAGCACTCAAGAATTCTCCTAAATGTAAAAAACGGCAACTCATAATAATATCTTATATTCTGTAGTGCTTTTGGTTTTATATATAAAGCAATTTAACATGTCAATTCTAGAAATTATCAAAAAATTTTTAATTTCAAGTGATTGCAGGTTTCAATGAATTTATAGATGACATGTTAACAGCTAGAAAGTTATTTTTGTTCACTGATCGATATAATGTGCAAAATTGTGTAACACAGGTAAGTTGTTCAGTAAATCAATAATTGAATAAATCATGCAAATAACAAGGAATCAAAATTAATAGTCTTGAATTTTCCTTCCACCTTCAGCTTATAATTCTACATATTTAATTCCCACTTTCAGAATAGTCCAGAACACTAATAACTTATAAAAAGTAAAAAATAATTTTTATATGCTACATAAAAAATCTTTATGTATCTTCTCAAAATTCATACATTGAAGCCTATACTGCCAAAATGTTGTAATAGTGGGAGGTTAGGCACTTAGTAGGTAACTAGGTTCAGGTTGTCAGGGTGGAGGTTGCATCATATCACAGTTAAGAGAGACAAGCTCCTTTTTTACCTGAGGCTACAGCCAGAAGGTAAGAGTCTGCAAGCCAAGACCATTTAGGTACTTTGATCATGGACTTCACAGCCTCCAGAGCTGGGAAATAAATGTTTATTGTTTAAGCCATTCCATCTACAATATTCTTTAAGAGTAATTCAAGCTGTCTATGACAATATGGCTTCAAAAATGTTAATGGTTAATTTTTGCAGCAAATTTTCTTAATGAGCAGATAGAACTAAATTGTCTTTTTATTTTCTGAATACATCCTAAGTTAGGGAAAGAGAAGTAAGCATTTAGTAGGATTAATAACTAATCAGTGTTCTACATTAATATTGATGCCAACTGCTAAAATGAATTCAGCATTCATTCCTTCATTTACATTTTATTATCTAGGATGGATTTTTCACATCAACTTTATTAATGTGAATAACATACATAATTATGCTTAAATCTGTTTACAAATTAAGTCACAGCTATATCTCTATTACCTGATATATCCTTTCCCTAGTACTTATTTTTACCAACTCCCCGTATTTCCAACTGCAGGCCAACAAAATGACTAAGGGTTACTCCTAATCCTGCCTCTACAGCAAAAAAAAAAAAAAAAATTCAATGTTGGGATGACTGACTCTTTTAAAATCTCCAAACCAAATCAAATTGTGTCATGGAGAGATCATACACCACTCAAATATATTGTCTTCTAAATAAGCAAGGTATTGGGCAAGACATCTGTGATATGTTTTACATTATAATTCAAAGAGTGGTAGTAGCACTGTCATAATTCATAGAGCTGAATTCTCCAGAAAGCAGCAAGAATACTGCTATAAACATTAAAATAACATCTATCCATTTTAATTGTGTAACTGAGGAAGTACATTACAACTTGACTATTTGGGACATTCATGTAAGTGCAAGGCTTCCCACCCTCAAGCATGCAGATCATAAACAGAAATACGGTCACTTTCAATTAAAAAACAGACTCTCCCCAGAAAAAAGATTAAATGAAATATTAAATTGCCTTATTTGGGGCCTTAACTGTATCTTCTATTATTCTGAAGCCATGATTAAGCCATTAGAGATGCCTAACATTTTAGAAAGTAAGTTAAATTGATTGGTAAATCTCACAAACACATGAATGTCATGAAAAAAATATTATAAAAGTTTATAAGTCTTAGCGAGCTCAACAGAGTTCATACCTTGCTTTTCATAGCAGAAGAATATGGGCCTAAGAACAATCCAGGTAAAATTTCCTACAGAGAGGGGGGAAAAAAAAGAATTTACCATGAACAACTTAAATCTATACAAAACACGTAACATAACTGAATTTGTGAGACATTTTAGTAGATGTTATGATAACTGGCTTCAAAGTTTATTTGGGGAATATTTCCTAGCCACTTTGAGCAAATAATTGAAGAGAAATGCAGATGCGCTTTATATCAAATGAGACATCTCAAGTGCAAAAATACTTAAGTCAGCGTTTCAGTGTAGCAGGTAAGGCTGCAGCCTATGACATGGGGCATCCCATATGGGCACCAGTGTGAGTCCCTGGTTGCTCCATTTCCAATCCAGCTACCTGCTGATGTGTCCAGGAAAGCAACACATGATGGCCATTTAGGGGATGAACCAGTGGATAGAAAGTCTCTGTCTCTCCCTTTCTCTTTAACTGTATCTTTAAAATATTTAAATCTTTAAAAAAGAAAAAAGTTCTTTAGAGTCAGAATTGAATTTTGACAGTGCTTGCTTTATATAAACAGTGTGGGCAGAATTAGTACAATGTATTGCTTTTAGATTAATAAAACTCTCTAATTTTATTTCTGTTATAGTTAAGATATCAGAGACATAAAAAAATCCTCCTTTTGAAACACAGGACCTTATTCAGTCACATTAAAAGCAGCACAAGATACAACAGGATGAGGACTATTGTCTAGGGGCGGGCCTTGGGACACAATGGGTTAAGTTCCCATTTGGTATACTGTTATTAAACTTCAGATGTATCATTTGATATAAAGCCTATCTGTGGGAGTGCCTCTGATGGAGCTGCCTCAATGTCTGACTCAGCTTCTTGCTAATATACCTGGGAGGCAGATGATCGCATGAATTGGGTTCCTCCCACCCATGTGAGAAAAAGATGGAATTCCTGGTTTCGACCTGGTACAGCCACACTTGTGGACATTTGGGGAGGGAATCAATGGACAGAAGACTTCTCTGACACTCTGCTTTTCATATAAATAAACTGGAAAAAAATTATCTATAATTAACAGAATCAAATTATTTCTGCAAATGTTTACCTGTTGACAGTCCCAACAATTTCACCTTTGTAATCCTTATAACTTTAAGTAATATATCTAATATGTATTTCTATTTTCAAAAGTGAATTTGCACTGAGAGAAAGGTAATATTTTTATTTATTTATTTATTTGAGAGTTACAGAGAGAGGTAGTGAGAGAGAGAGAGAGGGCTTCCATTTGTAGGTTCACTCTCCAGATGGCCACAACAGCCAGAGCTGCACCAATCCAAAGCCAGGACTTGGTCCATCTTCCACTGCTTTCCCAGGCCATAGCAGAGAGCTGGATCAGAAAAGCAGCCGGGACTAGAATGGGCGCCCGAATGGGATGGCACCCATATGGGATGCCGGTGCCTCAGGCCAGGGCTTTACCCGCTGCACCACAGCACCGGCCCCAAGAAAGGTAATAGTTTTTAGGAGTCCAGGGATTACCAACAATGAAAAGACACTGTTTGATCCTGAGGTTCGCAGTAAATAGTATGAAATGCAAAAGAAAAGAAATTGCTATGAAGGTGAGCTATCACTTTAATTCACTTCAACCTGGAAGCATTCAACTTAGACTTCTAGACAACTCAACTAAGTATATTAACTGGAAATCAGGCACAAAAGTTAACAACTTTTAAAAGCCTAATTGGCTTTACAGTCACAACTCTCCTTAACTAAACTAGACAAACAGAACAAACTATTTTCAAAAGGAATACAATTATAAAATGCAACATTAAGGCCGACGCTGTGGCCAGTGGGTTAACGCCCTGGCCTGAATTGAAGCACCAGCATCCCATATGGGTGCCGGTTCAAGACCCAGCTGCTCCACTTCCTATCCAGCTCTCTGCTACGGCCTGGGGAAAGCAGCAGATGGCCCATGTCCTTGGGCCCCTGCTCCCGTGTGGGAGACCTGGAGGAAGCTCCTGGCTCCTGGCTTCGGATCGGCGCAGCTCCGGCCACTGCGGCCAATTGGGGAGTAAACCATCGGATGAAGACCTCTCTCTCTCTCTGCCTCTCTCTCTGTGTAACTGACTTTTAAATAAGTAAACAAATCCTTAAAAAATGCAACATCAACAAGTAATGGGGAAATAAAATTAAAAGTTTATTGATATAAAAATAGGTCATATTTAATGCTTTCCATTAACTTCTTAAAAATCCATTACACTATCCAACTTTTTCAGATGAAATAAAAGACAGTAGTTCATTAAGCTTATATTACTGCTTCCTGGTTCTAAGTTAAAAGAAAAAGGTTGCTCATTTCCTATTCTTTTGGAGATCCTAAATTAAATTTAAATATTCACAATATTCGTAATACCTAGTTAATATTCCAAATACTTCAGGAAGAACCCACAGGTCGTGAACCAGCAGGTCTTAAAATTGCTGTGAATTTAGGTTATTTAATAATAATAATAATAATAATAATCAGGCTTGAACAAAAGGCTGCTGGGGCAGTGTTGTGATATAGCGGATAAGGCCGCTGCCTGCAATACAGGCGTCCCCCATGGGGGTCGGTTCATGTCCTGGCTGATCCACCACCAATCCAGCTCAGTAACAGCCTGGAACGGAAGCCGAGGAAGAGGACGGCCCAAGTGCCTGCCACCCACATGGAAGACCTGGAAGAATTCCGTGGTTCCCTGGCTTAGTCCTGGCCCAGCCACAGCTGTCGTGGCACTCTGGGGAGTGAACCAGTAGACAGAAGATCGATCTTTCTCGCCCTCTCCCTGTAACACTTTCAAAAAAATAAATCTTAAAAAAAAAAGGTTGTCTTACCTGCATCTCCCGCCTCATTGGGTAGGTCCATTCCTTAAAAAGAAAGGAAAACACAATCAAAGTACATAACATTATACAAAATGTCAGCTAATTAAAGGCTAAAAATACGACACAGAAGCATGTGGATTTTTAAGTTACATTAGACTTTAAGAACCTTCTATAAAAACAGCAGATTCCATTAGTTTCACAAATAACCAAAAATTTAAATGACAAGAAACAAGGATTAAGGTGTTCTTTAAACAACAAAACTTTCAGAATTATAATTAGGTTATTTTATATAACAGATAAAATAGCTCATTAAACTTTTTACTTTGATTTTTTAATTTTTTAATTTGTCTCTTGAGAGACATTCTTAATTTCAGCTGGTCCACACTGGTCCTAGAATCCAACACTTTAGGGATTAAAATATTAATGGGGTACACTTCTCGTAACTGCCAATGATCTATCATAAATTACTATTGTAGTTAATTAGTAGAATCAATTTCCCAAACTTTGGTGATTGGCCAAGCAGCCCAACCATATTTATCAAACCAAAGCAAGCCAGATAATACAAAACACACTTAATTAGGAAACATCATGCTTGACAGAAACTAATTCACAATTCAAAATCCTCCAATCATCAGTATGAGTAGTTACATGATTTACAAACTGCATTTGGAGGATTAAAAAAATGATAAAAATGCTCAAAGACCATCAAAATAAAGGACACAGGTTGTAACTATAAGATACACAAAAATCCACGCCCGTTGGCATTGTGACACAGCAGGTTAATCCTCCACCTGAAATGCTGGCATCCCATATCAGAGCCAGTTTGAGACCCAGCTCCCTGCTAAGGCACCTGGGAAAGCAGCAGCAGAAGGTTCAGGTGCTTGGGCCCCTGCCACCCTTGTGGGAAACCCGGGTGGAATTCCAAGCTGCTGGCTTCTGCCTGGCCCAGTCCTGGCTGTTACAGCCATTCGGGGAGTAAACCAGCAGATCGAAGATTCTCTCTCCCTCTCTTCTTCTCTCTACATAACTCTGCCTTTGCGGGGTGGGGAGGAGGGGGGAGTTGTCACCAGTACTTCAAGAAATTTGAAAGTAATATTCTTGTACAGGTGACTGAATCATCCAGCTACCATAATTTGAGTGCATTAATTACTAAAACCAATTACTAATAGTTTTCAACACAGAGTTTCCTATCTGGAAGAAAACAGTACTGGTCACCCTTTTTGCGTATCTTGTTGGAAATAGGAAAACAAACACTGTTTTATTAGTTTATAATGAGTAACTGTACCCCATTTAATGATTTATTTTTATGCCCCCCTCTGGTAGTTTTTTCCTGCCCCACAAGCACTCTCCATCTGTGGAAGTGTTCCTATAGTTCCAGTGGGAGGGCAACCAAGATAAACTTCATTCCCTTAACCAAGCAATTAGGGATATGATCTGGACTGGGTAACTCATTGTAACCCCTTCTTGGATAATAGTGACCAATCCCAACATTAGGAACAGAATCTAAACTGGGCCAAACACTGAAGCTGAAGGAGAGATGGGCTGACGGCTGAGCTCCAAGCCTTGACTGAGAAGCCCAAGAGACACAGAACTCCTGAGCAGAGGCGGTTCTGATGCATTCAACACCTAGTCTAGTCAAATCTCTGAGACCAGTCGTATCACTACCTTTTGGGATCTGTTTCCTCTCTTACTTAAAACTAGTCTCAGTTGGTTTCTGTTACCAGCGACCAACAGATCAAACATCCAGTGCCATGATATGAGGTATGAACTGACTCTCAGTGACAATAACTACTTCGTCATCCACCAGGGTTTAAACATTACCTCTGTTCCTGAGGTACAGTTGATCTTTGTCTCCAATTCCTATTACAGTCCCTTAAAACCCCAGGATTTTCTAGAGTGATGTCTCTCTTTATTCCAAATGAGCCACAGCTGACTGTATCCAAGATTATGCTAATGAAGGGATTCAAGGTGGAGCCGGTCACCAGAAAGATCAAGTAAAAGATGAGAACCTTAGCCTCACCCAGCGCCCTCTGGGAAGGGTGGGTGCTAAGAGAAGGCTGGTTATTAGGAAGTTCCTCAAACTCTTGAAGGAAACAGGATCAGCTTCTGGGTTGCTGAAGATAGGGACACACGCCCCTCCCCCATGTCGCCCCAGGCGTCTCTTCTGCCCGATTTTCTGCATCCTTTGTAATAACCTTTATAATAAAACTGTGAATGTGTTTCCCTGGGTTCTGTGAGCCCTCCTAGTAAATTAAGTGAACTTATGGAAGAACCCTGATTACAGGCGGTCAGGAGCACAACTGACAACCTACTGCTTGCAGCTGGCATCTGGGGAGAGGGGGGAAGACTTGTGGGACTGAGCCGTGTAAACGCGGGATCTAACTCTAATTCTGCTAAGTGTCAGCACCGAATTGAAATTACTGGATACCAATAGGTGTCCAAAGAATCCTGTGGTGAGGGCGAAGGTAGAGAAACTGTTTTCATCAGTGGCACACATGAAGAAAGCGATATGCCCACTAAGAATTTTTAATTTTTTCGGGAATAAGACATACTATAAACACATTAAACACTAAAAGCAAAGTCTGGGAAAACCTTATACCGGAGCTGGTAAGATTAGGGCAGGGAAGAATGCATGCTAAAGAAAGTGTCAATTCATTTTCCTAAGTAGCCTAAAACAACTGCCTTTTTTCTTATCTAAATGTCTACTTATAAAACACGCAGTTCTCAAGCCATCATAACAGGCAAGGGAGTCACCCAAATTTAAGAAAACAAGTCAATCACAAATGAAGATATTAAATAGAGTACTTAGAATAAATCAAATGACCTCCTAAAAATACACCTTTAATTTTCCAATTATTTTTAAGCTCTTTCAAACTCTAGAAACTTCTTGATTGCGCTAAAGTATAACTGAGTGTGCTTGTCTTGTTATTAACTTAGCCCCCCAAAACTCTATGGTGTGGCACACCATAAAGTATTTCAGACTAGCAACAGATGAAAAAAAAAAAATGGATTCCAAAGTTAGGCAGGGAGGAAGGGGGAGTAGAAAGAGCCACCAACTAGGCGATCAGGAGCCCAGGTACGAAGAATCCTCCTCCCAGTACTAACTGCCCCCCAAAGGGCGAGGCTTCTCATTAAGTTTTCTGCTTGAAGCGCGCTGGCATGCCGACATTTTCTTCTGCTGGTCGCGGCTTTCTGCACACAACACACTGCGGGAAACTTTGCGAAGTCGGGGTTCCGGGTCTGTGCCCCCACGTGGGGCCCTGTGTGCCCCCCGGGGAACCGCCGACACCACCACGGCTGTGGCTCACGCCGATCCCAGACCCAGCGGCTTCGTCCCCCTGCCCCGGCAAGCCCGAGGGGGAGCGCCCGGCCAGCGCGCCCCGCGCTCCTCCGCGCCCACGGGCGAGGGCGGCGTCCCCCCCTCAGCTCGGCTCTGCAAACCCCGGACCCGAGACCCTGCCCTCCGCCGCTCCCAGCAGAGGGCGACCCCCAGCCTGGGCCACACACAGCCCACGGCCGCTGCCCCGCAGGTCCCGGGGCGCCTCAGGTGGCAACGCGGCTCCCACGGAGTTGGCGGCTGCGACGGTTGGGGCCTGGGGTCGCCCCTCGGCCGGAGCCGGCGGGGGGAGGCCTGTGCGTGGCAGCCGCCGGACAGACTCACCTCGGCTTCTTCTTTACACTGGGGGAGCGAGGGGAACTCCAGCTTCACGTCCTCCATGGTCCCGGGCCGCGGGGCTGGTGGTGGGTGGGGTGGGATGGTGAGTTCCCGGGCGGGCACGACCCTCGGGCTTGGCAGTGGCGGCGAGAGCAAGGATGGCCGCTGAAGCGAGTGCGGACTGGCCGAAGGCGAGCTTACAACGAACACGCGCAGACCACAGGATCCCAGCGACTGCGGCGACGGCGGCGGCGACAGCGGGGAAGAGGGGGCGGCTCGCACCCCGCCGCCATGCTGCTGCTGTCTCCCCTCCCCTCCGTCTCCGCGCCCCTCGGCGGCCCAGGATCCGGCACGGGCGCGAGCCCTACAACCGTCTCCCCGCACTCCTCCCGCCCCCCCGCCCTCGCCGCGCCAGCCAATCGCAGCCCACGCTCGCCCTCGGCCCGCCCCCCGCCGCCGCCAGGTGTCAGCGCGCCGTCTCGCCCCGCCCCCCCGGGAGAGCGCAGGCGCAGGGGGCGGGGCGCCGGCAGGACTCCCCACGCGGGGAGGAGGCTGGGCTGCGGCAGGAGGGCGGGGATCGGGAAGGTCCTGGGAAAGGCGGTGGGGCGGTCCGGGACGGGTGCACACACCCTGCCGGCCAGGACTGGCATCCGGAGTTCCTCCCTTCTCGGAGTCCTGTGCAGTCGGCGGCGAGTGAGAACCCGAATACAAGAGGTCAGTTTAAAGTCATCTTATGCTACACAGAAAATGAAATAGCCGTCACCTTGAGGCACGTTACTGAAATGGTGACTTTCTAAGAATACTTGCGAAACGGAGCTGATACTTCCTCAGTTCCGACTTTAATCCCCAGTCTGCCCATGTTCCAACACGTTAATAAACCACCTGGCTGTCGGTAGTTGTGGAAACAGAGTTCGCGTCAGCGTTAATAAAAGCGAGGTATATGCTCTCTCTTGGCCTCGGGAGACACTATCCTAGTTTGTTTTCAAACAGATGAGGAAACCCAAGCTGCTAAGTGAAGAACCCACATTTAAAGATTTGTACGCTAGAATGATTCTTTAAAACCTACTGCCAACACAGGAGTACAAAGACAAAATGAACAAAAAGCAAGTGACAATAAAGGACAATATGGATATTTGATTAAAACCCCCGCCCATACACTTTTTATTTTTTTCTCGTATGTACACAATAGACTGCCAACACACATAGAAACAGAATTGTTCCGGAGTTTATTCGAGGGCTCCATGTTCTCTATCACTATAAATATCTTCCACCTTCAAAAATTATAAAAGGTTCTGTACCAGCTGTTAATTTGAAGAACGACTGTATAGTTAACCAGGTCCTATATTGTTCGTTCTGGTGTTTATGAAACTGAAGTGTCTTTTTTTTTTTTTAATAGCGCCTTCAATTATACAATCTCAAGGGATTCCCAGTGACTCCTTTATGTGATTTGTGTTGCCACATAGGGGAAACAATTGTGAATAAGTAACAGAACTTTTGTCTTAAGCATTTTTACCGGGCTGGCCTTGTGGCCTAGCAGGTTTAGCCACCACCTGTAATGTTGGCATCCCATATGGGCGCTGGTTGGTGTCCTGGCTGTTCCACGTCTAATTCAGTTCCCTAGTAATGGCCTGGAAAAATCAGTAGAAGATGGCCCAGGTGCTTGGGCTCCTGCCATCCATGTGGGAGACCCGTATGCAGCGCCTGGCTTGGGCCTGGTCCTGCCCAGCTGTTGTGAGCATCTGGTAATGAACCAGCAGATGGAAGATTCTCTCTCTTTCTGCCTTTAAAATAAATAAATCTTAAAAAAAAAAAAAAAAAACTTTCTGACACCAACCTCCCCATCATTTGACACACTCTGTTATCCATAGATACCTACTGAGGTCATTGGTGAGCTTGGGAAATTATTAATCCTGTGAAATTACAGTATATGCAAATTATAATCATGTATGTAGATGAGAATTTTTCCAAGCAGGAAGGGAGTCCAGACCTTAACATTCTCAAAAGTAATTATTTCACATAAACCAAGAATGCCAAGTCATATTTATTAGCAAATATTACCTTTAATCATAATTTTTAGAAAGTTATGTATATGCAGGTACTTTTTCAGGTAACTATCAAATAGCCTAATCAAAGTCCGTGAAGAATAGGCAGACACTTTCTGGGAGGAGGAATATATAGAGACACGCTCACACATCTATGTTATATATAACAGATGATCTTATGAACACCAAGTGTGGGGAATATTTTACAGTAAAATTCAAAAACCTACCTAAATACAACTTCATCTGAGTTATCAAATAAATACTTTATTTACTAATGAACTTAAAGGACCATAGCAAATGTCCTCCTTAGAAAAAGATAAGAATATATTTAGGGGAACTGAATCAAACATATTTTATTCAACTTTTAGGATGAGGAAAACAAATGATATAAAATAAGTCATAAGAAATGCTCTCTTGTACTACTCCCAGACCATTTTCAACGTTTTACAAAATGTTCACACAGCAAATATGAAAAGCTTCAACACATTCTTCTTTTGTAATTTCTGCTGCAATAAATGCAGCATTAACAACATACAAATTTCTTCTGTACCAATCTTAAAAGTTGAATCACTGAATTATATACTAATTTATGTTACTCATACATATTTTATTCATACTTTTAATGAGATCGTTGCCAATACACACATTATTTTCCTTAACTTTATTTTTACATTAAGCCAATGTCTGTCATGCAGCCATCAAAAACCTTACAGTAAATTACACAGGTTTGTAGTCCAGTTTAGACTCTAGCTTCTTAGAATCAGCCACTTTTCTGACTGCTTTCATGAAGTCTTCCTGTACTACAAAATCATGATCAGCACGAATTGCAAACATACCTGTGGAGAATAAGACAGCATGATTGCTATACATCACACGTGAAATAAGTTCAGTGTAAGAAAACTAAACAATGTAATTCTAGGGAGTAAATGTGAAGGAGCCTAGATTTATTATTTTTGATCCAGTATTTTTAAATGCTTAAAAACTACTCTCTTGGGAGCCAAGTTGTGACCCAGTGGGTTAGGCCACTGCCTCCAAAACCAGCATTAGCTCTCTGCTAATGTGCCTGGGAAAGCAGAAGGTGGCCAAGTGGTTGGGCCCCTGCACCCACGTGGGAGACCTGGATAAAGCTCCTGGCTCCTGGCTTTGGCTTGGCCCAGCCATAGCTCTTGATCCTACTTGGAGAGTGAACCAGCAGAATGAAAGGTCTCTGTCTCTTGCTCTCTCTGTAACTGCCTTTCAAATAAATAAAATAAATCTTAAAAACACAAAAAACTCTATCTTAGTTCAGTTAATTTCCACAGATTTGGCAAACAGCACTTTCAAAATCAAAAGCAGCTAATTATCTGAACATTTAAAATCTTGCTCACATCTTGTATTCAACGGTATCTCACATCTCACAATCTTGTATTATATGGTAACTCTTAAAAACAAACAAAAAAACCTTCCCAAATTTTCAACAACAAACACACACATTTTTTTTTTTTTTTTTTTTTTTTTTTTTACAGGCAGAGTGGACAGTGAGAGAGAGAGACAGAGAGAGAAAGGTCTTCCTTTGCCGCTGGTTCACCCTCCAATGGCCGCCGCTGCAGCCGGCGCACCGCGCTGATCCTGGCAGGAGCCAGGAGCCAGGTGCTTTTCCTGGTCTCCCATGGGGTGCAGGGCCCAAGCACCTGGGCCGTCCTCCACTGCACTCCCTGGCCATAGCAGAGAGCTGGCCTGGAAGAGGGGCAACCGGGACAGAATCCGGCGCCCCAACCGGGACTAGAACCCGGTGTGCCGGCGCCGCAAGGTGGAGGATTAGCCTATTGAGCCACGGCGCCGGCTCCAAACACACACATTTTAAGCAGTTAAGAAACACTAGGGGTCGGCGCTGTGGTGCAGCAGGTTAACACCCTGGCCTGAAGCGCTGGCACCCCATATGGGTGCCGGTTCTAGTCCTGGCTGCTCCTCTTCTGATCTAGCACTCTGCTGTGGCCTGAGATAGTAGTAGAAGATGGCCCAAGTCCTTGGGCCTCTGAACCCATGTGTGAGACCAGGGAGAAGCTCCTGGCTCCTGGCTTCAGATTGGCGCAGCTCCGGCTGTTGCAGCAATCTGTGGAGTGAACCAGTGGGTGGAAGACCTCTCTCTCTGTCTCTACCTCTCTCTGTAACTCTGTCTTTCAAATAAATAAAATAAATCTGTAGAAAAAAAAAAAAGGAAACAAAAGGCAGTGATTCTCTGGAAGGAGGAAACACAAAAGAAAACATTTCCAGTAGTTGGGCAGCCCTTTTCCTACTAATAACTAAAAGTTTAGAGAATAGGAAATTACAGAAAACCAACAGTGGCTTTAACAAAAATCAGAGCCATTATTCATGTATTAAAATTTATCTTATTTATATATAAACTGATACTCTTCTATGACTCATATTCAAGAATTACAACTGTTTTTGCAATTTTTGACAAATTACTTGTCAAATAGTACTTGACAAATAAGTAAAATCTTTTAACACTAGTTTTCTGATGGATATGGGCCCTAGAATTTGAGAAAAAAAAATCTTTTCAAAAATGTATTTATTTGTTTGAGAGGCAGAGAGAGATCTTCCATCTGCTGGTTTACTTCCCAAATGCCCACACAGCCAGGGGTGGACTGGACCAAGCCAAAGTCAAGAGCCAGGAACTCTACTGGGATTTCCCACATAGGCAGGAGAGCCAAAGTTTGTAGGCCTTCATATGCTGCCTTCCAAGGCACATGAACAGAAAGCTGAGTGGGAAGTGCAGCTGCCAGGTACAGACTAGCACTCTGGTATGGGATGCCAGTGTCCCAAGCAGTGGCCCAACCCCTGGGCCACAAAGCCAGCCCCTTTGAGATTTGGATTTCATGATCTTAAGTAAAGCTGTTAAAGTATCACTATCCATTAATCAAATGAATCCTACTAATATTTCCATTGAGGATCTTGTATTGAATTTTCACTTATATAAAATGTGGGAGTTAGAGTAATTTCAAAGGTTGCTTCCTTTTTTTTTTTTTTAACAGATTTATTTTATTTATTTGAAAGACAGAGTTACAGAGAGAGAGAGAGAGGTAGAGACACAGAGAGGTCTTCCATCTGCTAGTTCACTCCCCAGATGGCTGCAATGGCCGGATCTGCGCCGATCCATAGCCAGGATCCAGGAGCCTCCTCTAGGTCTCCCACATAGGTTCAGTGGCCCAGGGACTTGGGTCATGTTCTACTGCTTTCCTAGGCCACAGCAGAGAGCTGGATCAGAAGAGGAGCTGCTGGGATTAGAACCAGCGCCCCTATGGGATGCTGGTGCTTCAGGCCACTGAGCCACAGCACCAGTCCAATTCCCCCCCCCCCCCTTTATAAGCTTTTATTTTCATTTATTTGAGAGGCAAAAACAAAGATATCTTCTATCCACTGGTTCACTACCCAGATGGCCACAAGGTCCACGGCCAGAATAGACAGAAGGCAGGAGCCTGGAATTCCATTCAGGTCTCCCAAGTGGGTGGCAGGGGCCTAAGCACCTGGGTCATCATCTGTTGCACTACCAGGCACATTAGCAGGGACCTGGATCAGAAGTGGAGCACCCAGACTTGAACCAGCAAGTAATGGGATGCTGGTATCACAGGTGTTAGATTAACTTGCTGCATCACAACACTGGTACCCCATCTTTCCTTTCTAAATTTCTACCTAAGGAGTCTTAGAAATAATCAATATATGTCATCCTGGAAATCTGGTGAATAAAACAGCTGATTTTTTAAAAAAATAGTCTTAAAACCTGTTTAGAAGCCTACAACTAAATTAGTTAAGTTATATATATATAAACTCTATGCACTGTTTATTGAGTATACATTTAAAAGAGATATACTCTAATCCAAAAATGATTATAATGTCAGGACTGGAATGAAAAAGTCAATTATAATCAAATTCAAGTATATTTTAACTTAACAAAAAGGTATGTTATCAAAAAAGACTTCAAGTCCAATAAAAAGAAAACAGAACTGAAACTTTGTCTCCAGGTATAAATGTCCCATTCGTCAAAAAGCTAAAATTGTAGTTCACACAGAAGTCACAGCTCTTTACTGGGAATAACTTAAGATAAACTTTAAAAAACGTGGGGAAAAAAAACATGTCATAATTTGATGACATCAATCTGTAAGATCACACCACTGCTTTTGTTTGGACTGTAGTTTCACCAAAGCAACCTTCTGAGAATAATTTGGTCTGATTCGGATTCTGGGAAGAAACTGTCATAAACTACTGCAAGTATTTCAAGTTTACCCTTTACGCTTTTTGTTTACTGATAAGTCTCTGCAAACATGATTTACTCTAATCTGTATACAGTTTCTAGACCTGCAGATCTTTGATCCAGATAGTGAGTCACAGAATACCTCTAAAGGTAACGCCTACTGAAAAGCCATGCCCAGACAATTTCTTTAATCACTGTGGAATTTACATGTAGCATTAAAATAAGGTTAAACATCATGGGAAAATAAAAGGCCATTACAGATACAAATACTTCAGAAAATAGTTAAGACACAACCTATGATGTCATTAACTAAAAGGTACTATAGAAATTCACTTTTTTAAAATTTGGAGATTTTATCCAGAAGACAAATGATAAAGGACTGTAGGTGACGTGTTAAAGCCATCTGGAACCACAAATAAAAATTATATCACACAAGCCACAGAAATGTACAACTGTGTTTTACACAAATTGCACAGTCACAGAATTCATAAATCAATCTTTGAAAGCTTATTGTTCACAGACCAGGAATGGAGAATCCGCATAGCAGCTACCCATGGCACTGGTTCATTCTAATTGCAGCCAGGGATGCCACTGACTACTCTTCCCACATTCAGGGGGCACTGTCCTATCACTTACTCAGCTTTACACATTTGCCCCTAAGGCAACCAGAAATGCAACACCTGGAAGGGGGAAGTGGTGGTAAGTAATGTTCCAGTCTCCCCTCTTTCAGCTGGGTAATCCTGGAAGGCATTCTGCGTGTTTCTCTGAGATCTCACAATCAAGCCGTCTTACCTACAGCGACTGACTCAATGCTGTACCCTTCCTCCCACCTCATCTGCCCTGTTCTCTCTTCCTGAAACCACCTCACCCATCCTCTCCCTTCAAAACAAAAACAGAAATCATGTATCCATATCCTTGCAAGGCCCAAGTTCTGCTTCTGGATACACTCAGTTTCAGCCAATTTTTAAAAATCACAACCAGTAGTAAAAGTAGCCTGTAAACCCTTACCTGCTTCAGTGCAAACATTTCTCAGGTCTGCTCCATTAAAGCCATCCGAAAGCTTCACGATTGCTTCATAATCTGTTTAATAAAAAACATCAGAATTTAGCTTCCCTGACCCAAACAAAAAAGTCAGACCTTTTCTTCATGTATGCCCACATGGAGAATTTAAAGAGCTTACTTTGAAATTGATCAAGCTAAAAGTCTGTCAAATAAATCTTCTTTAATCATAATACCATATATCTCTGAAACCTTAACATCAAGACATACAAACATCATCAAAATCCAAACGCACCTCAACCTGTTTTTACAGTGCAAACAGCGATGCACTTGTGAATGTGCATCCAGCTATGACTCAATAAAACTATCACCAAATCTTCTTTAAAGAAACCTATAACATTCAAAACTAAATGTAACAATGGAATTTGCTTCAGTTACACTAGGAAATATGAAAGGTCCTAGTTATCAGACATAACTTCATCCCATGGAACCCAACAGCAGGTGGCTGGTTTTTATGTAAGCTTCAAGGTGGTAAAGTAAAAGATTCATGAAAATCGAAGTTAAGTGACCTCTCCACTCATCCACATGATCAACATGAAATGAAGAGCTATCAGTTTGGGGTAGCAGTTGTGCATTTGAAATGGAATACGAGGAGAAATAAGAAAGCCTAGGCGACTACAATGTGGATTTACTCTAATGGTCAATGCAGGGTATGTCGATCTCTATTTGACTTAACACAGATAGTCATGAATCAGGTTCAATTTCACTGTAAACTTCCTATGAGCAGGGATTTCTAAGGCTGACACAGTCTCTGGCACCTAATAACAGCCCAGTAATTTATGGAAGAAACCTATAAAGTGACCTCCTTTGTTCAGTCTTTCCAATTGAAAACTCTCACAGAAGCAATGAGATAATGAGAGGTGCAGATCAACTATTTGTAATTATTTTGGGCCATTAACTTCTAAAGCATTTTTGTTTTTAACTGCCTTGAAATTATACTAAATTCCTCTACTTCATCGGACACCAAACTTTTTATGTAAAGGCTAAGACAGTAAATATTTTATGTGTTTCAGGCCATATGGTCTCTGCTATTGTACTGGAAAACTGCCAGAGAGAAAACATGAATGAATGGGCATGACTATGTTACAACAGAACATTATTTACAAAAACAGATGGCAAACAGCATGTGGCTCATAAGCCTGGCTTGGCTGGCCTCTGCCCTCGTCCAGTCTCAAGTTTAACAGGTAACCATTTTCTACATTTTCCTGTCTTCAAATCTCAATTATACTTCCCCATCTTCATTCTGAGCTTGGATTCTATTTCATTGAATAAGCAATGCATTCAGGGCCGGCGCCGTGGCTCACTAGGCTAATCCTCCGCCTTGCGGTGCCGGCACACCGGGTTCTAGTCCCAGTCAGGGCGCCGGATTCTGTCCCGGTTGCCCCTCTTCCAGGACAGCTCTCTGCTGTGGCCAGGGAGTGCAGTGGAGGATGGCCCAGGTGCTTGGGCCCTGCACCCCATGGGAGACCAGGAGAAGCACCTGGCTTCTGGCTTTGGATCAACGCAATGCGCAGGCCACAGCGGCCGTTGGAGGGTGAACCAACAGCAAAAGGAAGACCTTTCTCTCTGTCTCTCTCTCTCTCACTGTCCACTCTGCCTGTCAAAAAAAAAAAAAAAAAAGAGACCTGGAGGAAGCTCCTGGCTTCTGATCCGCACAGCTCCAGCCAATTGCAACCAATTGGGGAGTAAATCAGCTGATGGAAAACCTCTCCTTCTCTGTGTAACTGACTTTCAAATAAAATTAACAAATCTTAAAAAAAAAAAAAAAAAAAGAGGGAATCTGAGCAGGGAAAAATGCATAGGTTCCATTACAAGACACCACAGAAGAAAATGTCTACCATCACGACCAACTGTAGTCATGAGCCTGTATATTTTCTGCCTTTCCTCCAATATTTTCAATGAAAATAATGCTCACAAAGCCAACCTCCCTTCAAGGCAAGTGCATCATCAATTTCTTTCTCCCAGATCAGCATTTAAAAAAGACTGCAGGGGCTGGCGCTGTGGCACAGCAGGTGAAAGCCCTGGCCTGAAGCGCCAGCATCCCATATGGGCGCCAGTTCTAGTCCTGGCTGCTCCACTTCCAATCCCGCTCTCTGCTATGGCCTGGGAAAGCAGTAGAGGATGGCCCAAGTCCTGGAGCCCCTGCACCTGCGTGGGAGACCCAGAAGAATCTCCTGGCTCCTGGTTTCACATTGGCACAGCTCCACCCATTGCAGGCAATTGGGGAGTGAACCATCGGATGGAAGACCTCTCTCTGTCTCTGCCTCTCCTCTCTCTGCGTAACTCCGACTTTCAAATAAAAAAAAATCTTTAAAAAAAAAAAAAAGCCTGCAAATTCTCTTGTGTCCATTCCCTTCCAGGAATAGCCCCATTTCGTTTCTGTTCCCTCTGAGGAAGAACTCCTTAAAAGGGCCGGCGCCGCGGCTCACTAGGCTAATCCTCCGCCTAGCGGCGCCGGCACACCGGGTTCTAGTCCCGGTCAGGGTGCCGGATTCTGTCCCGGTTGTCCCTCTTCCAAGCCAGCCCTCTGCTGTGGCCAGGGAGTGCAGTGGAGGATGGCCCAGGTGCTTGGGCCCTGCACCCCATGGGAGACCAGGAAAAGCACCTGGCTCCTGGCTCCTGCCATTGGATCAGCGCGGTGCGCCGGCCGCAGCGCGCCGGCCGCGGCGGCCATTGGAGGGTGAACCAACGGCAAAGGAAGACCTTTCTCTCTGTCTCTCTCTCTCACTGTCCACTCTGCCTGTCAAAAAAAAAAAAAAAAAAAGAAACATCTAGGGGCAAGCACTGTGGTGTAGTGGGCTTAAGTCTCCACTTGCAGTGCCGGCATCCCATATAGTGCTGTTTTGATTCCCGGCTGCTCCCCTTCCAATCCAGCTCTCTGCTATGGTCTGGGAAAGCAGTAGAAAATGGCCAAGTCCTTGAGCTCCCGCATTCATGTGGGAGACTCTGAAGAAGCTCCTGGCTTTGGATTGGCTCAGAAACGGCTGTTGTGGCCATTTGGGGAGTGAACCAGTGAATGAAAGACCGCTCTCTCTCTCCCTTTGTCTGTAACTCTACCTCAGAAATAAAAGAAAAGAGAGAGAGAAAGAAAAGAGAGAGAGAGAAAGAGAGAGGGAAAGAGAGAGAGAAAGAGAGAGAATGAAAGAAAGACAGAATGAGAGAGAGAGAGAGAAAGAGAAAGAAAGAAAGAAAGAGAAAAATGTCTAAATCCAATGTCTCTTCTTTCAACTTCTCTGAAATCCATTCAAGTAGGCTTTCAACCTCACCACTCCAAACAATTACATCTGACAAGGTTACCAACGATCACCATGGGGTAAAACCCAACGGTCTATCCTCGGAATTCTATCTGTCCTATTGTCAGCATTGCACAGGGGAACAGTCCTTTCCTAAGACACCCATTCAGGGCTGGCATCATGGTGCAATGAGTTAAGCCGCCACTTGGGACACTGCCATTCCCTATCGGAGTGCTGGTCCCGGTTCCAGATGCTCCGCTTCTCACCCAGCTCCCTGCTGATGCACCTGGCAAGCAAAGCATGAGGACTATGGCACTTCAGTTCCCCCAGGCACCTGGGAGACCTGGAGAGAGCACTTGGCTTTTGGCTTTGCCTGGTGGAGCCCTGGCTGTTGTGACCATTTTGGGAGTGAACTAGAAGATTTCTCTGTCTGTCCTTTTTTGTCACTCTTTCAAATAAACTATTTAGAAAAATAAACACTTCCTTCATTTTCCTTCTCAGGTACCATCAGTTACTGGTTTATTCCTACCTCTGCCATTGTGTCTTCAGACTCATACTATTTCTTCATCTCAACTTCTTTTTTTCTTTTCTGTTTTCCTTTTTTTTTTTTTTTTAAAGATTTATTTATTTATTTGAAAGTCAGAGAGTCAGAGTTACACAGAGAGGGGAGAGAGAGAGAGAGAGAGAGAGAGAGAGAGAGAGAGAGAGAGGTCTTCCATCTGATGGTTCACTCCAATTGGCTGCAATGGCCGGAGCTGTGCTGATCCAAAGCCAGGAGCCAGGAGCTTCTTTCGGGTCTCCCATGTGGATGCAGGGACCCAAGGACTCGGGCCGTCTTCTACTGCTTTCCCAGGCCACAGCAGAGAGCGGGATCGGAAAAGGAGCAGCCAGGTCTCAAACTGGCGCCCATATGGGATTCCAGTGCTTCAAGCCAGGGCGTTAACCCGCTGCACCACAGCACCAGCCCCCATCTCAACTTCTTAATGTTAGAATTATTTAAGTTCAGCCTCTGACTTCTTCTCTGTCTATTCACCCCCTTGGAAATCTCATCTCATCAGAAGACTTTACAAACCATGTTTATGCCAGTATTTTCCACATTTATTTCCCCAGCACAGACTGTCCCAATGAACTACAGACACATACAGAATTAATACACATAGTTTATCAAACAATACACAGAACTAAATCCCTATTCCCTCCTTAGAATCTAATCTTTCCAGTCTTCTCAGTCTTAATTGATGGCAGCTACATCTTTCCAGCTGGACAAAAACCTGAATCTTCCCTGTACCTGTCTTTAGCTCACGCCCTACATCCAATTCATTAGCAAGTCCTGTCAACTTTACTTTCAAAATATACCAGAATCTCATCATTTTAAAAAATGTCAATTATACTACCAAAAAGCTGGTGGGTGGGGGTGAGGGGCTTTGCTACCACTTTTGATAAAGCCACATCATCTCATAGAGAACTGGAATCACCTAAGTTTTGTTAATGCTTTTAAAAGGGCAGAAACTTCATCTGACTGTGGTGTTCGGAGATGGGGGGCCTTCAGGAAGGGATCAGATCTATGGCTATCAGAGATTGGTCAGCCAGCAGAGAATCCTGGTGGCATTATAAGGAGGACAGGATTGGGGCCAGCACTGTGGCATAGCAGGAAAAGCTGCTGCCTGCAGTGCCAACCATCTGGGGAGTGAACCAGCGGATAGAGGACCTTTACTATCTCAGGGCCAGCTCTGTGGCACAGTAGGTTAATCCTCCGCCTGCGGCACCGGCATCCCATATGGGTGCCGGTTCAGATCCCGGCTGCTCCTCTTCCAATCCAGCTCTCTGCTATGGCCTGGGAAAGCAGTAGGGGATGACCCCAGTGTTTGGGCCCCTGCCCCCACATGGGAGATCGTGAGGAGGCACCTGGCTCCTGGCTTCGGATCTGCAGCTCCGGTTTTTGAGACCATCTGGGGAATGATCCAATGGAAGGAAGACCTTTCTCTTTGTCTCTCCCTCTCACTGTCTGTAACTCTACCACTCAAATAAATAAATAAATAAAAATCTTAAAAAAAAGAAAAAAAAGACAACCTTTATCTCTGCCTCTCTAACTCTGCCTTCAAATAAATAAATAAACCTTAAAAAAAAAAAAAAAAAAAGACAGGATCGATCACAGAGACACACACACTCCCACCATGTGCTGCAGTGCAGGGCTTTCCTTGCCAGAGTCTGGGCCACGCTATTTGAACCTTGTACCTCCAGAACCATGAGCCAACACAAATCTCTCCTTATAAAGTCACACACTGTAGGCATTTCGTTATAGGAACATAAAGTTACCAATATACTAATAATTACACAAAAACCTACAGAAGTAACTTTTTTGGACACAACTGTATAATTTTAAATAAGTAAAAAATTTAGTGAAGGTAAGGGGATGAGTCAATGGGTATTAGTAATTCATTATATACTTACCTCTTTTTTTATGTTTCTAATTTTCTAGACTAAGAAATTAAAAATAGGGGTCGGTGTTGTGGCACAGTGGGCTAACCTGTCGCCTACAATGATGGCACCCCACATGGGTACCGGTTCCTGTCAGTGCTGTTCTATTTCTGATCCAGCTTCCTCGTAAGGTGCCTGGGAAAGCAGCAGAGGACGGCCCAAGAAAGCTTGGGCCCTTGTACTCATGTAGGAGACCGGGACAAAGCTCTTGGCTTAGACCTGGCGCAGTCCTAGCCGTTGCAGCCATTTGGAGTGAACCAGAAGATGGAAGATCTCTCTCTCTCTCTCTCTCTCTCTCCCTCTCTCTCTGTAATACTGACTTTCAAAAAAATTTTAAAAATGTTAACAGAAAGTAAGATCCATCATTCCTCAGGTCAGAACCCTCCAAGGGCATTCACATCACTAAAGTCCCTGCAGCTGACCTCTACACAGGACTCCACACAATCTGGTCACCATTACCCTACACCCTTGCCTGCTGACTGCTGTCTGTCCACTCTCCCACAGCACCAGAGCCTCTTTGCTGCTTCTTGAATATGCCAGGCACACACCTGTTTGACTCTTGTTGCTCCACCTTGAATGAAATAATTCTCCCCAGTATCCATGTCTAATTCCTTCACTTTTTCCATGTCATTGCTTAAAAATCTCCTTCTTGGGAAGGCCTTTCCCATGCCCTCTCCCACTGCATTTAAAAATGTACATAAAATCCCCCCTTTCTTTATTTTTCTCCACAGCACTTATCCCATTTTAGATACCACATCACCCATATTTCATCTGTGTTTCCTGAGAAGAATTTAAGTTCTCTAAATGCAGGTATTTGTTTCCTCCATTACTATGTCCCAAACACCTACAACACTTCCTTTGTATAGTAGGTAACAAATATGCACTGGATTTAAAATCATTCTGTCTGCTGAATTTATAACCTGATTTGCTAGGCCATCAGCAATATCTAAAAGTATGCTGCTTAATTTACCAGCATGTAATTTACCAGATGTAAATATAAAAAAAAAATGATTTCCTTACCTATTTCACCATGTTTTGTAATGGGACCTGCGTGGATTTTCAATATATCTAACCTTGCTTGTTCATTTGGTAAATCAATATCTGAAAATGAGAAATCATAAGAAATTATTTTACAATGTGTTTTGAACAAAGTGGGGGTGAGGAGATGTATATACAGAGAAACAGACACAAAAGGAAATGGAGAGCAGGTAAAGAACCTTGACTCACGTATTTTTCTGTCTAATCTTCCTGGACGTAGCAAAGCAGGATCCAGTGTATCTGGTCTGTTTGTAGCCATGATCATTTTAACTCTATGCAGAGTATCAAACCCATCCATTTGATTCAGCAACTAAGAACATTACAAATGATGGAGATCTTACAAAACATTCTACCCACTACATAATAGACAGCACACATCCTCTACCAGGGTACTTCAAAGAATCTTGGAAAAATGCATTTTAAAAATGAGTTTATTTTGGTTTTGAAATCTATGCTTAGTTTTTTTTTCATAATATGTAGTTTCCATTAACTTCTTGAGGTACTCTCATTCATGAATAATACCCTAACATATATTTCCTACAGATAAATATGTGATCTTCAGAATCCCCACTTCATGGACCTCTACGTTTTTCTTCATCTTTTATAAAGGTATATATGTTCCACACTCAAAGTTCCAAGGTAGATCAATTGCTTTATTATAACCACAAACCTCTTCATAGCTATCTGGTAGCTTTAGTAAACCCTGTGCCTTCCATCTAGTGAAATATTATAAAATGGAACTATGGTCATATTTCCAACATCTATGATTATTTTCACAAAATTATTTTATAAAATAAAAATAAAGAGTATTGTTGCTAACAAAAATGTATTAGTGCTTATGTGAACCGTATTATTCACATTGGGTTGACTACACACAAAGCTTTTCCTACAGATTTGATAATAAACTCATAAAGTATCTTTTCAAATAATTCTGGTTCACATAAAAATACCAAGACACCTGGGGCTGGCACTGTGGTGCAGCAGGTTAAAGCCCTGGTCTGAAGTGCCGGCATCCCATATGGGCAATGGTTTTAGTCCCGGCTGCTCCTTTTCCGATCCAGCTCTTTGCTATGGCCTGGGAAAGCAGAAGATGGCCCAAGTCCTTGGGCCCCTGCCCCTATGTGGGAGACCCGGAAGAGGCTCCTGGCTCCTGGCTTCAGATCAGCACAGCTCTAGCTGTTGAGACCATCTGGGGAGTGAATCATTTTCCATCCATTTTGTGGATGGAAGACCTCTCTCTCTGACTCTGTCTCTACCTCTCTCTGTAACTCTGTCTTTCAAATAAATAAAATAAATCAAAAAAAGCACCTGTCTCTTGGCTTCGGATTGGCGCAGCATGCCAGCCGTAGCAACCATTTAGGGAGTGAACCAATGGAAGGTAGACTTTTCTCTCTGTCTCTCTCACTGTCTAACTCTGCCTGTCAAATATAATAATAATAAAAAAAATACCAAGACACCTAACATTATTTCCTTTGATCCCTAAAATTTTCTTGAGTAAATTTTGAAAAATCTTACTGAAATTAATAAATTCTTTAAAATCTAACTAACCGGCTGGCACCGTGGCTCAATCAGGCTAGTCCTCCGCCTTGCGGTGCCGGCACACCGGGTTCTAGTCCCGGTCAGGGCGCCAGATTCTGTCCCGGTTGCCCCTCTTCCAGGCCAGCTCTCTGCTGTGGCCAGGGAGTGCAGTGGAGGAGGCCCAGGTCCTTGGGCCCAGCACCCACATGGGAAACCAGGAGGAAGCACCTGGCTCCTGCCTTCGGATCAGCGCGGTGCGTCGGCTGCGGCGGCCATTGGAGGGTGAACCAACGGCAAAGGAAGACCTTTCTCTCTGTCTCTCTCTCTCACTGTCCACTCTGCCTGTCCAAAAAAAAAAAAAAAATCTAACTAACCAGAGTGGGCACTGAGATACAGGGAGTTAAGCAGCAGCTTGGGATACCAACATCCCTTACTGGAGGACCTGGGATTGAGTCCTGCCTCTGTTTCTAATCCGGATTCCTGCTAAGGCACCCAAGAGGCAGCAGATGGTGCCCAACTACGTGGTTTTCTGTTGACCACATGAATGACCCAGATGGAGTTCTAGCTCCTTGATTCAGTCTGGTCCAGCCTTAGCTGTTGCAGGCATTTGGGGAATGAACCAGCAGATGGACGCTTTGTCTATCTCTGCTACTCTGACCTTCAAATACAAATAAATAAAACGTAAGAAAAAGCAAAACTCTAGCTTGCACAACAATATGTTTATTAGTTGACATTCTCAGTTACATGAAATAAAACCAGTATTTGTGTTGTTCTGAAATATTTCAATTGGAAACTTCTTGCAGACTTTATAATTAACTGAAAAATACTGTACATCTCCTGGGCAGAGCAATATAATTTATGAAAAGTGATTTTCAAATACATTCAATGAAAAAGAACTGCACTACCTACATTACTTTGTATTTGCAGAAGTGGGAATATGTTTTGGATCTTGCCATCACTTTCCCAGATGTGGAGCAGGGAAAAGTGGGGAAGGCTCATATACACTCCTCCACAGCTCAGTCATCACAACTACGTCAGCTGCCTTTCAGTCTCAGCAATGAAGGAAGGGAGGAAAGAACGACTTTTGGGCCACAGTCAAAAATAAATATAACTCATTTATTGCCAGTCTTATAGTGCCTGTTACTCATAAGACATCTTAATAAAGCCAGCGCAAGATCACATTCATGATACACAATTTAAACAACTAAATAGCTGACCTGCTGATAAAACATAAAATAGTTCAAATGTACGCCAAGTAGAATTTTGCAGATACTGTTGTATGTATTTTCCCATTGCAATATGCAATGCTCAGTTCTTCATGTAATAGGTATTTCTCTATTAAACCCCCTTTACCAAATATTACCTCCATTAAAGTTCTCTGAATCTCTCTGTCAGCTGACGTACCCTCAGAAAACCGACGACCACCTAAAATAGATTTGGATGTGTAAATGCATTACTTTTTTCCACAATAAACATCATCTAAGAAAACGGAATGTACCAGTGTCAGCTGAAAATATTAAGATGGAGCTTGGCATCGTGGCGTAGCAGCTTAGGCTACCTCCTGCAAAGCCAGCATCCCATATGGGCACCAGGCTGAGTCCTGGCGGCTCCATTTCCAATCCAGCTCCCTGATAATGTGCCTGCTAAGCAGGCCCAAGTACCTGGACCCTGGCACCCATGTGGGAGACCTGGATGAAGCTCTAGGCTCCTGGCTTCAGCCTAGCTCAGCCCTGGCTGTTGCTGCCATTTTGAGTGAACCAAAGGATGGACTATCTGTCTGTCTCTCTCTATGTAACTCCATCTTTCAAATGAAAAGCAGAGTTACAGAGAGGCAGAGGCAGAGGCAGAGGCAGAGAGAGAGAGAGGTGTCTTCCATCTGCTGGTTCACTCCTCAACTGGCTTCAATAGCTGGAGCTGTGCCAATCCGGAGCCAGGAGCTTCTTCCAGGTCTCTCATGTGGGTGCAGGGGTCCAAAGACTTGGGCCATTTTCTACTGTTTTCCCAGGGCAGAAGCAGAGAGCTGGATCAGAAGTGGAGCAGCTGGGTCTTGAACCAAACCCATATGGGATGCCGGCACTGCAGATGGCGGCTTTACCTGCTACACCACAGCACCAGCCCCATAAATAAATCTTAAAAAAAAAAACTTTCCAAAAAAAGTTTAAATTTTGAAACACATATTCTTACCAATAGCATCTATTTCATCCATAAAAATAATGCATGGCTGATGGTCTCTGGCATAATTAAACATTTCTCTGATCAAACGAGCACTTTCACCAATGTATTTGTCTACAATAGAACTAGATACAACCTGTTTAAAGGAAAAACATTAAGGTAAATATAAGACAATTCAAGAAAAATTCAATTTCAACTCCAAAGAATCTCTCCTTTACCTTCAAGAAGTTACAATCCAGCTGACTAGCAACAGCTCTCGCCAAAAGTGTTTTTCCTGTCCCTGGGAATGAGAAAAGAAGTCCTAGTTAATTGGAGAGTAAACAAAATTTTCAAAAGACTTTTAAAAATGTCATCCTTTGGCTAGTCAATTTTCCCAAATTAAAGCTAAATGCCAAACAGAATTTCCCCATAAAATTCCAAAGTATTTCCACTCGATATTAAAACTTTAAATTGCATTCAAGATATCCCTTGTAATTTTTATTTTTAATTGACAAGGAGCTAGACCAAAAGTGGAGTAGTTGGGACTCAAACCAGCATTACAAGTGGGATGTGGGTGTCCCATGATGAGAATTAATCCACTGCTCCAAATGCCTGCCCTGACAACTGATTTTAATTCCTCTGGACATATACCCAGATACTGGGTCATACAGTAGCTCTTTTTCTAATATTATGAGAACCTCCAATAAAAACCTCCTGTTTTCCATAAGGGCCACCCATGCCCACCAACAGTAAACAAGGGTTTCCTTTTCTCCACATCCTTGCAAACACTTGTTATCTTTCATCTTTTTTAAAATAACCACTCCAACAGGTATTAGGCCTTAACAATGTTACTTCAATCTCACTGGATAAAAACATTTAAAACTATATCAAACTCTATTCACAACATGAATAATGATAGAAACTTTTATTACATTAAAACACAATGTTCAGGGCCAGCATTGTGGTGTAGCAGGTACAAGCTGAGGCCTGCGACACCAGCATCCCATATGGGTGCCAATTCATGTCCTAGCTGCTCCACTTCCCATCTAGTTTCCTGCTAACGTCCTCAGAAAAGCAGTGGAAGATGGCTCAAGGGCTTGGGCCCCTACCACCCACATAGGA